TGTGGGGGCGGGTGTTAGATATCTTACTTACATCTCCACTCACACCTACCTCCCCACCTTCACTCTCAAGCAACCGGTGACGAATACAGCTTGAACTGTCCCACACTTTTTCCTTTTATTTAGTATTCTAATTTCAAAAAAAAAAAATTTTTTTTTCAATAATATTCAAATATTAGAACCAAATAGAGAATGTTCTATTAAAATGATTGTAACCAAATCCCGATTTTGTATATTTAAGATCAGTATTTCGAAAAAACCAACGGAGAATATTATTATCGTCAAATATTTCATCAATTTGATGATGAAAAAATTCCATTGAAACAAATTTTAATTTAGTCCAAAGACGACGATTTGTATTAATATTCTTATCAGCACTAAATAATGTTTGAAAACAATGAAGATATAAAGATCTATCTATTGGAAAAAACATTAACAAATATTCAACATTTGGAAACCGTTGAGCAAGGTTTGAGATGTCTTTGTCATCAGTTAAACGATGTTCAACAATTAAACTACGAACAAAAGGTTGAACAATATCATTTATTGAAGTTCTATCTATAAGAAATAAATCAAAATCTTTTATTGATAGATTTTGTTTTTGTTTAATAAAATTCTCTTACGAATTTGTTGTGTAAGTATGACTTTTGAAATCCTTAATGGTAATTCAATATTGATTGGTAAACAAGTTCGCAATTGACAAACACGATGAAATTGTGTTTTTAACTCAATCCATTGATTACCATTTGTAATCATAATATCTTTCACACATTCACTGGGTCCAATACCTGATTGTACTAATCTATTAAGTCCATCTTTCACAATAGGTAATTCACGTTTATCATTTTTATCTGATGGCCATGGTAATGAATAAATATGTATCCAACAATGATTAAGATTTTCATAATAAGCAATATTACTTGGCCATCGAATGAAACTTTCAGTTAATGTTTGATCAATGATTCTATGTGTCATTGTATAATTAAATGCACGAAGATTTGGTAAATATTCGTTTAATATTGATTCAAATTTAGGACCATGACAAAATGTTATATCATATGTATCACGTATACTTAATGTTAATTTAATTACAGATGGAATAAAATTAAAAATAGATTTAATATCATTAATATCAAATCCACTAAAAGATTCTAGTAATGTAAATTGAGTTAATTTTGGACATGATGGATTACTTCGTGGATGAGTACCAGCTACAAAATAAGATGAAAATTTCATAAAGATGATTGTGTTCGACTAAAATTCAATATCGATCATTAATATTGAACGATTAGTACATGATAGACATTTCTTGGATTCTTCAGTGCTATGTAATACAACTGGTAGTAACTGTTTAGTCCCATTCAATCAAATAACGAGTTAAAAAGTTTTTAAGATATACCATTTATATACCTTGTTTTTACTCATGGGAAGATAGGCAGAAATTCACTTGTGTGTGTCTGTCTAATACGTGACATCATCCGAATAAGCATCTAGTAACTTTAAAGATATATATAATCATTACGATGAAGGTTAAACTGGATGAAATGGATTGAAATAACGACTAAGTCAGAAATACAGAATTATAATAAACAAAACTGATATTCTTTAAATAATACAGTGTGATATACTACGCTAAATTATTAATCTTTTTTTATATTCGTATCGATATCATGAACCGCTCAGGGAAGACACAGTATATGGAGAATTCATAAACAATAGCACTAGATATCGTAATATATTACGTATACGAACATTTCATTGCTTCGTCTATTGTCTATCTTAAATGCTCTTCGATAGATGTACACATTCGATTTAATTCATAAATCAACTATTCATCTATATAACATTGAAAGATTATCTAATCACAGTATATAATCGAATAAATTCTCTCTATAATCATCTAAACTAAAGTAATCCGATAGTCATTTTTGGCATATTACGGACAAAAAGACACAGATGAATTCTCATGTTTTTTTTTATTCTACTCTTACAGTCTTGGAGGATATTTAAAGCTTGAAAATGACATATGGATTGTTCTTACAAAGTATTCGTGATCGACGTAATTGAATAGTCATTGTTTCTACATTTGGTACCAATCCACTAAGTAATATATACAAATCATCGATAGTTTCTAAAACTAAATCGAGATAAATAATAGATTGATTTGGTAGTAATAATTGATATAATATAAATCCATCAGGTATATCAATAATAACTTTATTTAAAGAGGAACTTTGTCTACCGAATAGAAATTGAACAATTGTTGGATCGGATCTTTCCCTATGACGAGATTCTAAAAATAAAAGCAAAACTGATCAATATCTATTGAAACTTCTATAAAAATGAGATGATCTCTTCTTTGTACTTACGAACAACATCACCATCCTCATTATTAGTTCTACGAAAACTAATATGAAGATATTGAATTAATGTCATTTGAAATAAGCATTTATTCAAAATATAAATATCATTTGAAAAACAATTTATTAATATTAAACATTTTAAATTAATAAATATTGAATTAATTGTATTTGAATGTAAATAGTTAAAAAAACTATGTGTTAAATAAGGAATATATTCATTACTTAATATTAATGATTCAGGTTGAAGAGAAAATCTTCTATTAGAAAATAAATTGCACAAATAAACAAATTCGGTATTGGATATTTTATCTAGTTTTATTTTTCTGTAATAATCACTAATCATATGATGAAAACGAAGATGAGATTGTTCAGGAGTATAAAATGAATAAAGAACATCACTTGGTGATAAATAACGACATATTAGAAGAAATATTTCATCAGATAAATCAAATATACAAGTTACATTAGAACGAAGACGTTTATACAAAGATGAATCGAATTCTAAACAATTAAATAGTAAAAAGAAAAAAGATAATTTCGAATAGAACAATAAGACATACCATCTTCGTTTACAGAACGCTTTATGTCTTTATTCATTTTTCCACACTTTCAATCTATATTCTGTTCTATCAGAATATATTTATAAGTTGTGGAGATAAAGACTTGGTCGTCCGATAAATACATCTGATGACCTGAATTAAAGATCAACAATGGTTAGTGGAATATTCTTTTGACGAGGAATTCGACTGTTATGCAAAATTTGATACCTTATATCAATGTGAGCATGAATAACTAAAAAAGTTATTCATTAAATATGAATCAATACCTAATATCACGATATCTGAAACTCTATGTGCACATCTAAATTGGTCTAACGAACATTAGGAAATATCGCGTCATTGAATAAGTGTGAAGTACATAGCAACCATTTTGAAGGTGAGGGTGAGAAGAAATGTATAATCCTCATCCTCAAGATAGTTTTATTATTCATTTTGTGACAATGATATATTAGAAGAAGATTATCGATGGCATTTTATTAAAGCCATTGTGGAGAATGCGATAAATGCAACTATTTCATTTATTTATTTCATGAAGAAAAGCAATGATCTTTGCTCATATATGTCAAGAGAGTATCCATGAGAAAACCAAGGAACCGAGGCATTGGTTAAAATTTAAATTTTTGATTTTTTTATGTGCATTCTAAAGACCATCATCTAAAACTATTAAACCCAAATTTTTAGCTCATTTGGATGTTCTATACAAAAGTTTGCTTATATCGACTTTTTAGTACTGCCAGCCAATTGTCAAAAAATATAATCAAAATTTTCTCAGTGATGTTTACTGAGATGATACTGTAACACATCAGGAAGGGTGTGGGTGTGGGTGAAGAGAAAACATACTCACACCCACATCCATCCCACCAACTAAAAGAAACATAGAATATAGGTAGCAACTATTATTCAATTAGAACACACTTACGAGCGCAATAATAGAAGTCACCATGATCATTCCGAAAGTCGAATTTCGGAAAGCAAGTGTAATACATCTATGATAGAATATAATATAATTTAAAATATGCAAAGGAAAGAATTCAACGAACCTTTGTGTTTTGATGACCAATCACCTTTTGAGCTCGATGAATCGATCGAGATCCATACTCTACCACTAGTTAGAGTCACACAGCATCAACAACAAAAGGTGAGATACAATTTTGCTATACACAAATCGCTTTGAGATCTGCGTCCTCGATTGACAAACATGTCTATATACATGCATTCAATATATTTTGCTGGATGTGCTCAGATGCCATATAACTGTTGAACATGTTTGAATATGTGTTTAGTTGAGAACATTCACGCTAATGGGATTGGACCAGTCACACAAAAAAAAAGAGAAGGCAGTTATACGAATTATCTCTACAAATGTTTTTGGTTGCGAGAACGCAAAAGAAAACGTTTAAAAGCATCGTACGATATTGAAAGTATGCTTATGCAACTGTTTATATATGAAGTTTTGTTGTTTTTTCCAAGAATGCACTAGCCGGAAGAGGCAGTATGATGAACATGTCATATTTCGACTAATGTCTCTTATTCACTACAAATGATGTGTCTTCGTATCTTCGAAACAGTTTTTTTATATTGTTCTTGTTCATTTTTTTGCCAAATTTATTCTCTCTTACTTTCTGTAATGGTGACTTCACCCATCTAATTAGGTACATTTGAATAAATATCTGTGCTTTGATGTGTTTCACTGGTAGACTATGTTCAGATGTCTGTGAATGTGGTATAATTGGATGATGTTTCTGAGTGAATCTGAATCATGAACACGTGCAACTGCCTATGTATCATCCAAACTACCATAGACACAAACTGAAAATATTGCAATTTGAATCCATAAAGGATACATTCATTTCAAGGATGTTCAAACGCTTGGAGACATGTCAAAAATTCGCACAATGTTACCTGTATATGGCAAACATTGTTTGAAGATCGAATTCAATTAAACAGAAAGAACGAATATTTGAACTGTTTATCAAATAAATTTATATTGTGATTAAACCTAGAGAAAAATATCATTAATTCAGATTATAGAGATGGAAAAATGAGGTTTGATCAAATAATGAAAACTTTTCTTCTAAAACTTTCTTTTTCATACGATTTTTTTCCAACGATATAAACATAAGTAAGAAGAACATTTGTAAGGTAGGATTGTATTGAGAAAGAAAATTGATAAGATAGAAGAGTCCAACAGATTATGTATTCTACAGTGAACAAAATAAGGTTTGATGTGTAGGAGAAGAGTAAATGTAAGATAGACGGCAACATAGGTAGTTATCGGTATTGCTAAGCGTCGTCGATCATTTTCGATCCAAAACTCACTCCACTTTGCTTTTAGCGTATTTTACAAACGATGTATGTTTGTGAAACTTGATGTTTTTCGTACATTAATGTTAGTCCACCTATCTGAATGCTATCACTTACACACTTACAAAGTTTGCCTGTCAATATGTTACCTATTAATTCTTGTTGGTTTATGCAGGGAGTCGTATTTCTCTCTTAACATGCATCTTTCCATGTGATTATGTTTAAATTCCAATTTTGTTTTATGTTTCAAAAGCATCAACGGCGTTGGAAGTCAGTCAATAAGAAAATATTTATTTTTCTTGTACAATCGTAATATAATACCATGCAAATGACATTGGATGGCCAAATTTGTCTAAATTTGTAGGTTAGAACATATTGGAGACAAAGACGAATGAATGTCACGTTGAAAATAATCGAACACACTCAACTGCCTTGATCTTTACTTATATTTCCTTCTCTCTTACTTTAAATCTTCTCCTACACATCAAACTTCACTCTGTTCGTCGCCAAATACTTACTCTGTTTTGACTCTTCTATTCTATTATTTTTCTTTTTTCTCAAATACGATCCTACTTAAGGAAATCGAACTTTTCAGCTCATTGGATGCAATAATTATAAAATTTTTCATGCATATGTGGAAATAAAATTACAGTAACTGAAAGAAAAGTCAACCAATTAAATAAAGGGAATATAAAACCAATCTAAACATTGTCAGCTCTATTAAAAACAAACAAAGCAAATATCGAATTTGTAATCAGGCCTGCATATTAAGTATAAGACACTTGGAAGACTTATCATTAGCACAAAATAGTTGAGAAACGGCAAGTTATCAGGAAATATAGGTGATAAAATGTATTTAAATCGATACCAATAATATCCTCATCTTGGTAGTAGGGATAGCAATTTATCTTTACTTTAACGAGTAAAGTAAAGTATCTCTAACTTTACTGAACGAGTAAAACATCATAAAATATGATAAAGTAAAGTATGCAATTGACGGTTATTGCTTTATTAGTTTATTATCAGACATTAATCAAATTCAAATACATCAAAAGGTGCGTCGAAGTACGGACCGACAATCCCGAAGTATCTGAATCTAATTTTAATATCTTGAAAATTGGCATTGAGCCCTGACTATTTATCATAATTTCATTTTCGACTTTATCACAACCCAATTTTTCACATCTAGGGTTCCTTTCATGTATCGAAAAAAATTCTATCGCTGTTCTATAACAAATCTTGATAATTCAATAATATTTTGTGAGCTGATTACGAATATCTCATTTATTTTCAAAGACATTTAGGTAATAAAGGGTGTGGGTGTCAGTGGGTGTTTCATGAAGTGTATCCACACCCACACCCACATCCTCCATAAATAAATTGAACTAATTCGATTGATATTAAATGCGATAAATTGTGTATAGTAACGTTGAAAATTTGATTTCAATAAATATGACGTATTCATTTTAATTGGAACATTCGAACCAGTTAACAGATTTTCAAATTGTCTATTAAGATTAGAAAATGCTTTATCCACATGCTACGTATCAAGATAATAGAATATTTCGTAAATAACTACATTTGAAAGATCTTCAAAATAAGTGAAAGATAATTTTATTTCCGAATTTCATTCTCTTTAATTCATATTGAAATTATATGAAAAATGAGTGTGGTCGTCGGCAGATTTATACTGTTTTATTACCTGTTGATATGTATTGAGTCAAAGAATACATAAATAGTGAGAAAAAAAATTCTACGTCAGAAGAGAAAGCCAATGACGAAGTTTGAAGATAATTGGACTATCTCACGGTCATTCACTGCATAGTAAAGAAAATAAAATTTTATTGGTAACTTCAGAACGATGACAAATATTTTAGTAAGAGAAAAAAAAATGATGGAAATACTTGTTCAAGTTCAATATAGTTTTTATATTCCAATTAATCGCCTGCATAAATAATATATTGAACAACTTGGTATGGATTAATAAGACTGAACTCTTGATTATATCCTACAGAGTCCATTTCCCCATTTAAATCATGTGTATGAGCTCCAGCATTATGAATGATAATATGTGCTGTATCGGTTGGTATAGTATGAGTATGAGTCATTTGATCATCTGCACCACCACCAGTTGTCATTCCTCGTCCGCTGCCACCCAAAGGACCCGAACCTGTTATTCCACCATGATTATGACCGGGATCTGTATGATTATGTGTATGAACTCCATTTGTTCCCAATGATAATGTTCCTCTACCATGTTTATGAGCAGGTAGTTGTTCTACGGTAAGAGTATGCGTTGTCTTTCCTCCGGATAGACCAAGTTGAGTGGCATGATTCACTCGAATTTGTAATGTATCAACACCAATCGGTTGTCGGCCTCGAAAATCTGGTAAATTAAATGTTGTCACATCATCACCGGTTCCATATCGAGTACCAATAATTCCAAACAAACGTTGATATACGATACGAGATATGGATGTACCATCACAAATCATCCAAGGCAATTCCGGTGGTTGTTCTCCTGCATAAAGTCGAATTTCACCTGTTAATATTGTTGGTGGTGGAATGATCGGTGTTTCAACAATATGACTCATTGTATTTACTATACGAATAATTGCTCCATTAACTTTATCAGCTGTCAATTGTTTAGCAATAATTGCTACTTGTAAACGATCAGTTAAATCTGTTAATTTATATACCTTGAACGATTTCGGGATAAATTTCTCTCCTGTCCACTGCATTTCGATAGCTTCTTGACTGAGAAGATTTTGAATTTCAGTCGACGAAAAGACGTCGTTAGTAAGTGCTGATAATGAACTACCGGAAGAGCTACCTACCGATCCGGAACCAGTCACTCCAATGCCAAGCAATGGAATTGATATACCTCCACCGCCTGATGTAGTTGAAGAAGCAACTTGATTACGATTATAATCGAAATATGTATCTGAGAAATTATGACGTTCAGTTTCCGTCTTATTGTAAGTGAATATTTTATTTATTTCATTAGTCAAACGATCCGGATTGAGATCAGTCGATGACCATACGTGATCAAATAACTTCGCATCCAAGATTGTTTGCGCAGAATTTGACATTGCTAGAATATGTAAAAAAAAACTTTCTTTTCAATATTTTCATTAAAACTAACCTTGTTGACTCAAGGAAATAAATTGATTTTGAAGATTAGTTATTAATTCTGATGTATTTACATTGGCATTCTCTGTATAAATCATCATTTTAACATTTGCAACATAGTTACTGATAAATTTTGAAGCTTGATTACGATGAATATATGATGCATTTGTATTACCTCCATCAGCTGTTGTTTTACTAAGAACATCTTTTAATTGATCACCAGTAATTGTTACAAAATTAGTTGATACTTGTTTAAATCCAGCAAAATAAAAAGCAATTTCAATTTCATAATCACCATCAAGAATTTTATGCATAATCATCTTAGCTTTTTCTTCATTTGAACATGCAAAACGAAATGTAATTGAAAGAGAATTTGGATGAACAGTACGAAAAGGATGAATACCTTCAACTGGACTACTGCCGATATTAACAATAAAAGCCATTAATGAATCAATCATTAATGGAGCAACATCCCAAGATTTTGCATATTGAGCGATAGTTGAATCATATTTTTTAATAATTGCTTTACGAGCTAATTCATTAACATCATTATTACCCAATGTCAATGTCATACGTAATTCATTTTTTACTGTCCATATCCATGTTGTATCATTTTTATCAGCAGCAGGTATCATGATAGGAACATAATAAAAAATCCATTTTTGTGGTTTAGCAGCATTTTCATTTTCATTTGATAGAGAACTATAGATATAAATTTGTGCACCATCATAATTTAAAATTGTTAATATTTGAGTATTAACAACTGCAGTACCCAAACTTGGATTGTCACGTTTAAGCAATGGTAATTTATCATCTGATAGAACAACAGTGATGAAAAATATAGTTGTAAAGAATAACTGGATCATTATCGTTCGTATAGATAACTTCAAATGTTGTGTTGTGTCAATGATTTGATGGTCTGATTTATTTTATCTTGACTAATCTTCAAAAGAGTATATTTATCTTTTTGATCAATGAAAAATAAGTACTTCAGAATATGGGTGTGGGTGTCGATGTGAAGTGTAGGTGTAGGCATGTATCTTCTCTTTACCGATATCTCACATACTCACACCCACACTCTATGTTCTCATTCGATAGTCCATCCAAAGTTGTGGTTATTAAACTTTTTCACGTTTCCAGAACGCATAGTGATCGAGTTTTCGAGTTTTTACGAACAGCATCGTCAGAAGATCAGGAACAAGCAACCTAGGCAGTATTCTATCTATAGCTTTGCTGGATTCTTGTCCGACTGCTGTGCACGACATTTCATTTTAAAGAGCATTCAAAACTGCATCCATTGATGCACTCAGTTTGAAAAACGATATCTTATTGCTGTCGAAAATATTGACTTTTTCCACTTTTTTCCCGTTTTCAGAACCAAAAATTTGATTCTTTTTCGAATTTTCTCAAGCCGCTTCAGAAGCTCTCAGACATTTCTCAACATGGGTTTATCGAGCGTTCAATTCTTCACAAAGATGACTCTACTTGTACAATTCTGAATGGGTCGGCACAGCGATCAATTTTGGGCACAGACATCGTGCATGGAGTAAGTATAATCTCCATCTGATGAGAAACTGATTTCAGGCCAACTACGATTAAGCTGAAACATTCACTGTAGATATCTCGTGACGTGGCCCAAATATATGACCAGTTCTAGCAAACGGATAAAGCTATTAGGTTTTTGAAAAATCAGTGAACTTCATCGGGCATTTGGAGTTTTTACCCATTTTCGGCACTAGACCAACTCTAAATACATAACAAATCACATATTCATAGTCAGCGTCAAAAAGCGTAACCAGTGACTTATGGTTCCGTGCGATCTACTGTTTTAAGATTAAATCTTGATTATTTGAGATTTTGTTCAAGATGACAAATTCGATTGACAACATCGATTTGTACCCTTCACTATGTCATCATATGCAGTTTTTGATGCTGATCACGAATATGTGCTTTGTTGAGCATTTACTACTTAGCTTACAATGGAACCTTTTGTATTGTTAATCAAGTTGATTGAGCATGTTCAGGTTAAATTATCACTCTCTCACCACCAAACTAACAGAATGAATCAGGAGAGGTTTACCTCACTATTGTAAGAGCAAAACATAGTCTTGTTTGAGGCGATTAGGGATTTTGAAGGGTTCTCTTTAATATGGTTCGAACGATACCGTGTTTTGTTCTTACAATAGTAAAGTCAACCTTTCCTGATTGATTTTTATACCTAAATTTCACATACTTTGAAATTTAAATAACTTGCTCTACACTGTAAACTATAAAATAAGTTATAGAGTTTCGTCAAAGATATCCTAGGAATGCTCATATGAATTCATCGATGAATTTTAAATTCTTTGAAAATAAGGTATTTGAAACATTCCGAATAAGAAATTTGATTTTCTAATTAGAAAATCGCAAGTGAATTCATATAAGCATTCCTAAAATTTTGGATTCTATTCAGCAATTTGAGTATTTTTTTTAAAAACTCGAAAATCGAATTTTATTTTCATATATGAACGTAAAATTCATATAATAACAAACAAATAATTTTAATTTAAATACATACTAAATGAGCTGACTTACAGAGCAACTTTAAAAATACAAGTTATCAACTCACTAGTTAGCTGCTAAAGAATATAATGAATGAAAAACATTATCCGGCAGCTTATACCTGTAAATGAACAATAGCTCGATAGCGATCATTGTTCAGATGATTTTTTCAAATCAGCATTGATTTTCGAGTTTTATTAAAACCCATGTTGATGTTTTACTTTGTAGAAAATGATTACTTTCGAAAATCAAATTCAATCTGTGTAAATTGGAAAATCAAGCATTTTTGAAATACTGAAAATTTGTCGAATAAACCATAAAACCTCAAAAATACTTCAGCTTGTTTAAAAGCGATTTTCTAAATAGTAGAATTTAAAAACAATTTACAGTGTAGGTACGCTATGGGGCGTAATATTTTAAATTTGTTAGTTTGGCGGTGAGAGTGATAATTTAACCCGAACATGCTCAATCAACTCGATTAACAAAACAAAAGTTTCCATTGTTAGTACTGAAAACAGATCTTCCTATTGTCTTTTTCTTAAAGTTGCAAGTCTATTAGTTCTTTTTCGGAATTTTTCGTGGATCTGTGAAAAACATGAGGTCACATTATGAGCACACTAAATATTAGTCTGATTTTACTGAATTTAGCTCTCGAAATCTTGCATATTATTCATTATATTTTTTTCCTGGAAGAAATGCCACTACTTGGAATTGTATAGTGAAAAATACAAAGTGTCCAAGCGAGAACCAAAAATTTTGATTTTTTTTTAGTAATATTCTCTCGCGTATAATAATACTAGGAAAGTCAAAAGTAACAACGACCAAAATCCGCCTTATGTAAGCTTAGATAAAATTCTCACCAATATCGAATAAACTTATGCGTTGGAGGGCGTTGTAACGTGCCCTAAGAGGCACAGATAAGTGGATGTCTTCTAACGAAAAAATATTTGCACAAATATGCAATTCTCAGTACCTAAGTTTCATGCTACAGAAGAAGGGAATCTGTAGAAAAGAGTGCTTCCATTGATTAGTCTCTAGAAACAAATTTTGTTAATATCTACAAATTAGACATTAAGACAAAGTGTGAATTTGTACATTTTCTGCTCAACGCAACAAATTCTATTCTATAATAGAACTCCATCGAGAAAATTTCCTTACGTACCCTCTATCATAATGAAACCAACTGTCTATAATAAATCATGTCCAAGAAGGCGAAAAAATGATGACGACAACGAAAATTATTGCTCTCTCTCCATCTGTTGTTTTACTCATGCCTGACTTTCTCTTCTCATAGCGATAGAGCAACTGTGGAGGAAGAAAGATTCTCTTTATCTCCAATTTCTGCTCGCTATTTGAATGGCGTGCCTGTGAAAGAAAACATAAGGTTTCATTTTATAAGAGGCCGTTCTTAAACGACGACTGCTTTTTCTATTCTTTAGTAAAATCTGTTAACGCAATCCCTTGCGGGATTAAAAATGTGAAACACGATGCAGCTGCTGCTTCCAATGTTCTAAAAACTGTTGTTTTCTATGCATATTGGCGTACATCTCCTCATCATGGTTTACTTTACATTACAGAGCTTGAACAGAATAATACTACATATATACGCCAATCATATATTAGTTATGCATTATCGCTGATAGTGGCGTGAATTCGTCTTTCGCAGTCTATGATGACCCCTGGAGCTTGTCTGTCACGGTCTGTGATGGGTCACATGAGTATCTATCACGGTCTGTGTGAGAGGGGGGAGGGGTACAAATTTCTGCCCCTAAACACTTCAACATTCCTTTCAGATTGTGCTTCACAAAATGGTTCTACAGATTTAGAAGAGTTTTATTCTGCACCATATTTTTTATAAAGAACTTCTTTTACAAAGATAGTTCTAGCGCAAGTCGCTTGAACTAAAGTGGATTATTTTTTGAATGCGACTTAATTAACGTAAATCTCTAGTAGCTTCACTTAACCAACAATACTAAGAAAAAGCGGGCGAGAGGCATCACTTAATTATCAATAATAAAGGTTAACAGCTAGAGGTGGCTTTTTAGCTTTCCTGTCACTCTTCAACTTAATGTAGCGTGCTTTAACACTTTAACTTTAAAAAACCAAAGTTAAGGTGGTTATATCATTCAATAATGGAAAAGTTGTAGACTTAAGAATTTCGTTAGGAGACTGGTATTTTTTGAAATTAGCGGAGTTTTATAAAGTTTGACTAAAGGTTTTCGAAATCGAAAAATTTGAATAGTAAGATGGCTTCCCTACCTTCCAGACTTCCCATGAAACTTTATAAAATATGGTTATTTTCGATAAACTCCCTTTCCTTAGTGGAATTTTGAAATCGACAAATTTCGAAAATCAATCAAAAGAATTGCACTTCTCGATCCCGAAAGTCTCGGTTCACACTTTATAGAATATCGTTATTTTCGTAAACTAGCCTTCTTCTGACAAAAAAATCGAAATTAAGCTGTATTTGTCTCACGCTTATCATTTAACCACTCAATATCAAGTGAATTCAGTATTAGTTGAAAAAATCAAAACTTACCTTCACTTGATGTTAAGTTCAATGGTCCATCCCTAATTAAGGATTAGATATAGAAATAAGGGGTTAAGGATAGAAATATCGGGGTTAGATATAAAGATAAGAAGTTAAGGATAGGAAAAGGAATTAGATTTAGAAATAAAGGGCTAAGGATAGAAATAAGGGATTGAGAATTGGAATAAGGGGTTAAGGATAGGAATAAGGGATTACATTTAGAGGGTGTGGGGTGGCTGGGTGTGGGTGTGGGTGGGTGTGGGTGTTGATGTTGGTGTGAGTGTCAGTGTCAGGAAGGAAATTCTAGTCAAATATACCCACCGACCTACGCCCACGCCGACACACTAACCCCCACAGCCACAGCCACACACTCGCACAGACACCTACACTGACACATCCCTACCCAAAATTATGTCTATCAGTCAAAGGTAATTTTCATTTGTCACCTAAGAGAATAAAAACAAACTTTCTAGATTGTCGAGTTCGTTGCAAAAAAGCGAGTGTTTCATGCTTAAAAATTCGAAATATTGTAACTACTATTTCAAGTTGGAACACAATTTTATTCACGTATTAGTTTAAGTAAAACATATATATTACGGAAATAACAGAAAAATCTTCACTATGGGAATCATCAACAGCTATTTCCAGATCAGCTGCATTGTTTGTTCTTTTTTTAAAATTTATTTCATTTTATTCTATTGATTTATTGTGTTTTAGAATAGTTCTATCAAAACCAGCCGAATCAGTGGCTTTATCTAACTTAGAAAAAAAATAAACATTTACTTTCAATACCTG